GCAAAAACGTCCCAAGTCAGCTCATTATGCTGAGAAATCTGATTGTTATAAAGTAAATGTAAGAATAACTTTTGTTTTGTTAGTAATATTTAAAGATAAACACTTAAACACAAATATCCTCTTATTAAGACTGGGGGATATAGAGTGACAACTGATATTTATATGCATTTTACGTAAGTGGTGTGCTATAATATATCATGGTTATGATAATGTTATTGATTTACATTACAAGGTATCAGAACTTCAGCCTAATTTTTAGCCATATAAATAACAACATCAGCACCAAACTGCATGTTAAAACAGATAAGAAGATCAATAAACTGTAAAATCCATTTAACTAGTTTGGGACAAAAATCACGAGGACTATACACGGGTATATGGGATAAACCGGTCTTCCAGGCTCTAGTGTTGTTCTTATGAGCGTGTTTATGACCTAAACACACAGTAAAGTAAATACATGATGGTTAGTTACTAACTAGAAACAAGCTTTCATGATCGCTCCTGTCACCAGAAACCTAAAAACAAACTTCTGAACAGGACTACGACATAAGCAGGGACAACCGTACCAAATAACTACACTACATGTTACAATGTTTTTAAAATCATTCATTGTAAACAAAATGAGAACTGATGGAGCTAAAATGCTAACTAGCCAGAAAGCTAACAAATTCTAATTTCTAACCGCATTAATTGTGTTCGTTGTAAAGGGGAACTGATCACAATTGTACTCACGTTGCTGTCTGATAAGAAAACGATTATATTTGAATAATACTGTTGATAAAACAGACGTAAGTAACAGCTGACTGAACGCGCAAGTCAGGCCCTGCTAAAGCTCGTGCTAATCTGCTCGATAAGCCTCAAACATCACCTCATCATACCTTCATTCATGCCTATAACAGCGGCTGAAAACATCACCGACACGCCACACCGTCTGAGCGAGGGACTGACTGGACTGTCTCATTTCATACTTGTGGAGATATCGTCCCAAAAACAGAATAAACGTGTCTGTTGTTTACTCTGTTGTTCCTGTGTTGGTGGTCCTGTAAGCTACTTCCTGCGGGTTTACCCCTCATACCGGAAGTACATCACTCTGGGAAACACCCTCAAGAACCAAAGATGGACAAGACATGCGGCCAATCGAGAGAAAGTAGATAGATAGATAGATAGATAGATAGATAGATAGATAGATAGATAGATAGATAGATAGATAGATAGATAGATAGATAGATAGATAGATAGATAGATAGATAGATAGATAGATAGATAGATAGATAGATAGATAGATAGATAGATAGATAGATAGATAGATGGATAGATAGATGGATGGATGGATGGATGGATGGATAGACGGATAAATAGATAGAAACCAGTAGATAGATAGATTATCTCTATCTTTCTCTCTATAGATAGATAGATAGATAGATAGATAGATAGATAGATAGATAGATAGATAGATAGATAGATAGATAGATAGATAGATAGATAGATAGATAGAAATCTGTATTATAGCTATCTAATGATAATGATAGATAAAAGATAAATGTAAATGATAGATAGATAGATAGATAGATAGATAGATAGATAGATAGATAGATAGATAGATAGATAGATAGATAGATAGATAGATAGATAGATAGATAGATAGATAGATGGATGGATGGATGGATGGATGGATGGATAGACGGATAGATAGATAGATAGATAGATAGATAGATAGATAGATAGATAGATAGATAGATAGATAGATAGATAGATAGATAGATAGATAGATACAGTAGATAGAAACCGGTAGATAGATAGATTATCTCTATCTTTCTCTTTATAGATAGATAGATAGATAGATAGATAGATAGATAGATAGATAGATAGATAGATAGATAGATAGATAGATAGATAGATAGATAGATAGATAGATAGATAGATAGATAGATATTAAATCTTATGATGCAAAACATTTCCATAGTCTGTTAAATAAACAGAAAGAGAGTTTTAATTGCTTTCAGTTCTATTTTTTGCTACTGAATTATATTTTATGATCTGGTGCTAAATGATAATAGTCTATTTTTTTCATTAATTACATAATAAGTGCACTAGCCTCCTCCATATTAACTCAATACAATGTGATTTTGAAAGGAATAGTGTCAATAGTACATCTTATCAAAAGTCTTCATAAACAGCATTATCAATTCACGAACTGCACAGAGATTGAGACATCATACGCAATTCTTCAGTCAACTTCTTCACTGTAAGTGAAAATGTGCCGTTTTACTGTAGGGCTATTTCTGCTCAGATCATAAATAAACAGCAACAACGATGAAACAGCCAAGTCAAAGTCACCTTTATTTATATAGTGATTTGTATGATACAGATTGTTGCAAAGCAGCTTTACAGTGATAACAGGAAAATGTATTCTGGCTGTTCTTCAGCTGCAGTCAGTTCAGTTCCGTTGTAAAGATCATAAATGATTAAATTACTTAATTTCATCTATAAAGCAGCTCTGCACAAAATGATGTTAATGATGTCATGGTCCAGCAGTTCTCATCCAATAGTGTTAGTTCAGTCAGATCAATAATATTGCTAAAAATTGTGTTCCCACAACTATAACTTCTATATATTCTGTGCATTTGTATCTTAAGTGTAATAGTGTGTGCGTGTGTGTACTGTACATACTGTATACAATATTCTGTGTTAGTGTGCTATAACTGATTATGTATAGGCTGTGTAATGTACACTTCTGCTGCCATAGCCTGTTGTAATCAGCTTGATTCAATCAGTAAATTACACTCAACTAAAGGATTAAAGGATTATTAGGAACACCATACTAATACTGTGTTTGACCCCCTTTTGCCTTCAGAACTGCCTTAATTCTACGTGGCACTGATTCAACAAGGTGCTAAAAGCATTCTTTAGAAATGTTGGCCATATTGATAGGATAGCATCTTGCAGTTGATGGAGATTTGTGGGATGCACATCCAGGGCACGAAGCTCCCGTTCCACCACATCCCAAAGATGCTCTATTGGGTTGAGATCTGGTGACTGTGGGGGCCATTTTAGTACAGTGAACTCATTGTCATGTTCAAGAAACCAATTTGAAATGATTCGAACTTTGTGACATGGTGCATTATCCTGCTGGAAGTAGCCATCAGAGGATGGGTACATGGTGGCCATAAAAGGGATGGATATGGTCAGAAACAATGCTCAGGTAGGTCGTGGCATTTAAACGATGCCCAATTGGCACTAAGGGGCCTAAAGTGTGCCAAGAAAACATCCCCCACACCATTACACCACCACCACCAGCCTGCACAGTGGTAACAAGGCATGATGGATCCATGTTCTCATTCTGTTTACGCCAAATTCTGACTCTACCATCTGAATGTCTCAACAGAAATCGAGACTCATCAGCAGGCAACATTTTTCCAGTCTTCAACTGTCCAATTTTGGTGAGCTCTTGCAAATTGTAGCCTCTTTTTCCTATTTGTAGTGGAGATGAGTGGTACCCGGTGGAGTCTTCTGCTGTTGTAGCCCATCCGCCTCAAGGTTGTGCGTGTTGTGGCTTCACAAATGCTTTGCTGCATACCTCGGTTGTAACGAGTGGTTATTTTTAGTCAAAGTTTATTTTTATTTTTTTATTTTTTATTTTTATTTATTTTTTTTAGTTATTTATTTTTATTTTTGGTTATTTTTAGTCAAAGCTTGAATCAGTCGACCCATTCTCCTCTGACCTCTAGCATCAACAAGGCATTTTCGCCCACAGGACTGCCGCATACTGGATGTTTTTCCCTTTTCACACCATTCTTTGTAAACCCTAGAAATGGTTGTGTGTGAAAATCCCAGTAACTGAGCAGATTGTGAAATACCGGCCCGTCTGGCACCAACAACCATGCCACGCTCAAAATTGCTTAAATCACCTTTCTTTCCCATTCTGACATTCAGTTTGGAGTTCAGGAGATTGTCTTGACCAGGACCACACGCCTAAATTCATTGAAGCAACTGCCATGTGATTGGTTGATTAGATAATTGCATTAATGAGAAATTGAACTGGTATTCCTAATAATCCTTTGAGTGTATATGTCTGACTTGAATAAAATTGGATGTACCGCATGGAGCATGCTTTTAAATGACATGCTTTAAAAATCTATTTAAACTATTTATTTATTCGTTTGTTTGTTTTTATTTATTTTTGTTGAGAATATAAATTTATATTAGATTTTTTAATAATTTATTTTGGAGTTGTTTATAGGCCTAACGATATTGTGATGTTTCACTATAATGATGATGATGAGGAGGAGAAGGAAATCAAATTGTTTGATTCACGGACACACCTTGTAAAAAAAAATGAAATGTGCAATAGTTAGGCTACTGATCAGACCTGAACAGACCTATACAAAAATACTAGTTTAGCCTTAGTAAATTGATACAGTCATATTGATTAAAATAATTTACTGAAGCAAATTTTGAGGTAACTTGATTTCTGTGTGTGTGTGTGTGTTCCAAGCAGGACATCTTAAAATAAACACATAGGCTACTGTAGAATATATATTGTAATTTTAAGACTGTATAATTGTGCAGTTGTGAGCGCGAGCCCCGGGTGGGCGGAGCCGAGAGTCCGCGCGCTGTTGTGCAACACTGGCTACATCATCTTCATCATCATCAGGAGGAGCTGTTGTGCACGAGACACACACAGCAATCCACACGGATATTCTCACAACCCATTACATCTGCTGTAGATCATCCACAAGAGAATGTGCATTTAACAACCTGTCTGAGCTCAGCAGGAGGAAGAAAGAACACTGGAACGCCAAGGGTTTAATGCAACTTATATTCATCACATTTCTGTTTCTCATTTATTTTCTTTTGATGCTCTCGAGGACGGAAATCAAATAAGAGGTGGATTTTTCTGAAGTTTTGCAGAAGCTGCCACTGGACTGGATGGAATAATAGTGTGTAACAGATGATGAACAAGCAAAGCATCAAAGTGCACTAGACTGTTTCTGAGACTGGAAATCAGAGGATCGTTTTATTAAAGCACTTTTTGTTTTCGCGAACTCATCGGGACTTTTACGCATCCATCGTTTTAATGTAGCTGATATATCCAGGACAGCATCAAAATCTCTATCGTGTGGAATAAAAAAAATAACTAAAGGCATTTGAGCCTGAGGATGGAGGAGCAGAGTCATCTGATGCACACCCTGGGCGGCGTGACCCTCACCGGACTCCCGGGGGCTCTACCGGTGCCTCATGATGGAGCAGACGCGAGGAGCAAGCAGGACATCGGAGACATTCTGCATCAGATCATGACCATCACCGACCAGAGCCTGGACGAGGCTCAAGCAAAGTTAGTTTTACAAGGACACTTTACATTGCTGGCCATGTTAATACACTTTATTAATAACAACAACAACAATAACGTGTAGCCTACTTGCAACCAGCTCCGCATGTCACACTTTTTATTTATCAGCGTGTCAATTTTCACAGTCATGAATACACAAATCTATTGGGCACTAAAATATTCATTGCTGTTGGCTAGGGAAAAAAAGATACAATTAATTTAACACGTCCGCCACACATCCTATAGCGGGGCATGTTGTCACACGATGGGGTAAGCTGTCATTAAACAGCCTATATATCGCTTATGTTATATAGCATATAATATATATGTGTGTGTGTGTGTGTGTGTGAGTGTGTGTGTGTGATATATAAAAATATGGCTTACAGAAAATTAAAATGATAAAACTTAGGCTATGTGACAACTTACCCTGACATGACATTTATGAAAAATAATCAGTTTTCAGAACAAACTAAACTACATATGTGTGTGTGATATATATGAAAATATGGCTTACAGAAAATTAAAATGATAAAACTTAGGCTAAGTGACAACTTACCCCGACATGACATTTATGAAAAAGAATCAATTTTCAGAACAAATTAAAGGACAAAGCATTAAATCAGTCATGTGTCGTCTGTACCAAATTGGTTAGTGTTTAATCATATTAACAATGTAGGACATATGTAGATACAGTGTCATTTGTTGCAGACTACTACTTTTAGAGATCAATGCACCATAATACATTTACCTCACAGGTGTTGGTTTAACCACAACAGTCTGGTTTTAGATAAACCTCTGCCCTACTCTTTATAAATGCACATGCATGAAACATAATAATATTTTATGTTGGTTTCCTAATGAGAAACATTGCTGGAACTCGCATGAAGCTGCGAGGTGCAATCAGGAAAATATATTTAGAAGCACAGTAGAGGATTTTTAATGCCAAGTACAATTTTACCTGCATGTGTGGATGATAAGATTTTCTAAATAACTTGTGTTTTTCTTTGATAGAAAGCATGGGCTGAACTGTCACAGAATGAAACCGGCTCTATTCAGCGTGCTCTGTGAAATCAAAGAGAAAACAGGTAAGCGCTCCTTTATGCCCCACACAATACGCTGCCATAATACACCTGCACGCATGCTGCTCTTCAATACACACCACTGTTCAGCTCACAATAGCCAGCACCAGTCCTACGGAAGCTCACGCTTATTACAGACAATAGTGCTTTTTACACTGACAGATGCTTCCTTACCGAAGTGGAAATGAGCTGCGTGTGTGACGTTTTCTGATGGTGTATTTTGTAATGGTGTGGTTGATATCTTCAGTAGGCTTATTATTCAGTAAAAAGTGTTAACAGAGCACTGCATGCAATAAGAGGTCTGGAGATGTTTTTAATGTTTTAGAGCTGTACTCATTGATGTAAGCATGCAGAAACACAGAATTTTTCAAATGTGCATCTCAGAGGCTTTGATAATTAGCTTTGAATGTGCAATGAATTCCCCCTATTTTTAGCCCAACATGTTATTATGAGAGGTTCAGATTATGCTGACATATGTTTATATTTAAAGGGAGAGTAGGCAATGTTTTTCATAAACACTTTTTGTATTGCTGGTTGAAAATCTCCTCACATCCTGATAGCAATCGATAATAGAAGTGGTCTAAATATATTTTTTAAAAAGTACATATATCTTCTGTGGAAGTCCCAGGACCAAAAAATGTCTGCCCAATCATTGTGTTAATGATTTTGTTTTATAATGTCTGCTTTATTATTTAAAAATTTTCATAGGCGATTTATTTATTGTTTATTTTTGATATTTTTGTATGGCATTTAAATGTCTGATCTTGGGTTTTATTTGTGTTATGGTTACGGAGGTCTTTACATGCGGGTCATTGCAATCATTGAATCATTCATTCAACCGACTTGTTGAAAAACTTTGATTTATTCGGGATCGGGAGCGAAACAAGTGACTGTGCAATAAGTGGGCATTGAATCATTCATTCAACCGATTAGTTCAGAATAATTTATTCTGAAACATTTTTTCGGACTCTTTGTGGTTGAGTAATTTAATCATTCATTAAATTGATTTGTTTATTAATAATCCTTTCAAATTAATAAATGTTAAAGTACTTTTTGTATAAATTTAGTAAAAACTTAAATTCGTAACAATGTTAAAAAGTCACAAATGATGTTCAGTCATCACTACGGTATACTGTTTTTCTTTAGGTCTTTAGGTCTGTCACACTACCTTTAAATGATTTAAGATATTTTATGTAAATTTTTTATTTCATTTTATAATTTAATTGACATATTTCTATATTTTGATTCACATGCTTCCTACTTTTATATCGATTTTTTAAAAATCGACAAAAGAAATTGTCAGAACATGTAGCAGGCTAAACTACATGTTATTTTGTTTAGTAGACTAGTGTTCATGTTTGTAAATCTGAAATACATTTTTTTTTGTTCATAATCATGATCTTTATTCCAAGGGGGAAAAATCGTCAATTTATGCAGTATTATGCGCAACGACAAACCTGGGTCAACATATTTTATTGATCGTGGAACAACATCCCAGCAAACATTGGTCTTACGGTAGCGTCGTGTCCCTGGCCAAAAATAGTAGCGGTAGGAACCGGTAAAAATATGTAACACAGAACAGATAACGTCAAAGATGTCCGTTCAAATTTAATTTTGGAACTATTTTTCAATCATGACGGGACGTCTTTTCAACGGTCATTAAACGTCCAAATGTTTGCTGGGATTCCTGTCTGAAAATGTTGTCCTAACCCCTAAACCTATAACCCTACCCATAAGTTATTCCCTAAAATCAGAGGGAAATTATATGAATAACACTGGTTTAGAAGCACCTAATCCTGGTTGTAAGCCAAATCTTGACATAAACTCTAAACTTGTTCCTCAAATCTGATTGGTTGAATGCAATGTTGTTCCAGGATCAACAAAGATGTCAATCCAGGAGCATGTTGTACTTGGTGAAATCAGGTTTCACAGTAATGCAAATAAGTAAATCAGTCATGAAACCATCAAATATAGTGATTTATTGATTAGGGCTGGGTAAAAAATATCGATTTCTCGATATTAATCGATTCTAATTTTTACGAACCGATATCGATTCTTAAATCTCAAGAATCGATTAGTCATCCTGTTTTCATTTGATGAATAAATGGAACATTGTAGCGCGCATCCCATCCAATAAATCGCAATAATCTTTGTGCTTTGTTACTATTGATACTAAATAAAGTCTCAAATTTCAAATCACGTCCATTTTCTTACGAAATTCAAAAACATAAATACCGTTTTGGCGCTGTGGCGTGAGATCGCTCTGAGCTCAGCTCAAGAGAAGCAGCAGCGCGGAGCAGCGCATGATCTCCTCTTCTGCCTTAATAATACCAGTTACAGCGCGAAATAAACATGAATGAACGTCTGACTCTGAAAGTGTGTTAAAAGATAGAGTACCACTTTTCGAAGTCCGTATCATGTCACATGGAATCGCTCAATCAGTGTTTCCACCGTGGAAAGACGTCAGTAAAACAACTTGTAAACAATGTCATGTAACGTCACATTTACCTCAGAAAAACCATATGTGACCATAAACTCGTTAGTCAGCTAGAAAAATTAACTCTAAAGAGGAGCATTTTGCTATTTATGCACCATATTACATATTCATTATAATTTTTAATGTTCTTCGATATTTAATGCATGTTTGAATAAATCTGGCAAGTTTTTATGACAGCCACCATTTAAATGTTTATATTTCATATAACTTTATTATTATAAAAATACATAAAAGTGTAATTTAAGTGTTTGTATAGCTACAAATCAGTTAATTCTTACCTTCAATATTATAGTAGGCTAATGAAGCCTACAACTGACTCCCATAGTTTACAGCATTAGTTAAGAGATTTGTTTTCCTTGAGAAAATTTGCCATGTATTGTACCTGATATCCAAAATAATCAATATTGAATCGAATCGAATCGAATTGCAAGCTTGTGAACCGAAATCGAATCGAATTGTGAAATTTGTGTCAATACCCAGCCCTAGCTTAGCTTTACAATATTTAATTGGCTTGATGTTTCTTTGTAAGTGTAATGAATGAAATAATTGAAAATCCTTATCCAGTAATCACAAATACCTTGGAAAGTCATCTGTGTGGGGCAATTGGTTGTGTAAAAGTAGCACAAAACATTCCTTAGTCATGACAGCAGTTCAGTGCCAGCACAGTAAACACTCTGACATTGCCATGGTATTGTGCGCAACTCCCCTTTCAACACTGAATATTTTCACAAACGCAAGTTTTGCAGTGCATGCATATTCGTATAAATATGCATCTCTCAATCTGCAAAATCAATTGTCAGCTTTAAGTAAAGCAAAGCAATCGCATTTGATTCATTAGGTTGATTTACAGGCGTGCTTTATATTAAGTAAGCACTTCTGAAGTCTACTGGGGGCATTTTAGTATTGACGCAATCCCACAGAGCTAATGAGGGAAATAAATCAGGCTGAATATTATATCTCTATTTGGGCAATAAAAAATATAACGAAAGTTAAATACATCTCATTCTGGCTGTTGTGTTAGTGATAGAGATAATAGTCATGCAGAAAATGGTTTGATAGAGATTTATGAATGATAAAGCAGTAGATTTGAGCATTTTCTTAAGAGAATGTGAGTGGTGCTTTCGGGTGATGCTATATGGGTGTTAGTGCATTGCTAAGAGGTTGCAAGGCGTTGGTTGCTGGCCGGATATCTCTGTTTTAAAGGGACGCTTCTTAAAGTTTTCTTTGTAATGTATCTATGTAGAAGCTTTTTCTTGGTTATGTGAATGATAAGGAAACATTCTGTTTGATCATTCTTCAGTTCAAACATTACGGGATCGGGAACGCTACTTTTGAATGTTCTCTGAACAAGTTGTTACATTTAGAAATTGTTAGTACGTCCTATTAAAACATTTCATAAAAAATATTCCATGAACAATGTATGAAAAAAAAAGTGTGCTAAGGTTTTGAGAACATTAGACTAACTTTGAATGAACGTTCTATTAGCGTTACTGGAAGAACGTTTGTTCATAAATTTGAGAAAATCTTGCTTTTCTTTTTAGAATGACACTTCATTTTTCGGCACTATTCAATCACCATTTCAATATTTCTATTGGCATTATGAAGTGCACTGTCATACTAAGATATTAGAAAACCATTAACATGACTAAAAAGTTCCCTAAATATGATTATGAATATGTGCACCTGAATCTGTCAGTCATACCTGTGTTTATGCACACAATTTCGCAGCTGTTCCTGTTCGCCATCACTATAGAGTGCAATTAAGTGAGCTTCAGTGGTTAAGATGTGCTTGACTGTGGTGGGTGGATCATTACCCTCTCTCGGCGCAGGCGGGTTGTGTTCGGCTTGCTTACCCTGTCGGCAGTGGAGGACTGTCAGAGACGGGCGGCACGGATCAGTGGCCTGGAAAATGGACACGAGAATGGAGCATAATTGATTTAAATCCCCGTCGTTTCTTCCCTGCTTATGTACTTCTATGTCGCCGTATAGAACTAAAAGCATAATGTACATTTCTTGAGCAAATGTGCTCTGTGAGTGTTGTGATTGCGAGGCCGAAAGCATTCAGCCAGAGCATTGTCTTTTATGAAGAAAAATAGCAACAAAAAAAACGCTGTTTTTGAAGCATTAGTGGAATAGTTGATGAACTTTACCTGCACTCAGAGAAAAGGCACAAAAGCTGGCATTAGGGTGATATTCTTTCACACTTAGAAAAAAGTTACAGTGAAGGTACAATTTTGTTCCTATGGGTACAAAATATATAACTGTATACCTTTAAAGGTCCACAATAGGTCCTTAGGGTATAGAGAGCCTAAGTCCCTCCCCTTCTGGTCGACCACCATGGGACCTTATTTCGGAAAAATATTGTATGATGAAAATGGTATTGTATAATGGCGAGAGACAACAAATATTTTGATCTCGTTTGAATTGTGCCCTGAATTACACATATGATGTTTGTCAATTTAAAAAGATACATTTTAAAGTCAAGAAAGCCGCAGTTTGATGTAAAACTGTTGAGGTATAAGACTGTGAAAATACGTAAATACAAAGACTACAAACCCCAAAGGCGCACATTTTCTCTCAATGAATGAAGCTAACTTTACTGAAGCTAACTTTACTGAAGCTAACTTTACTGATGCTAACTTTACTGAACTTTAGTGAAGCTAACTTTACTGAAGCTATCTTAACTGAAGCTAACTTTACTGAAGCTAACTTTACTGATGCTAACTTTACTGAAGCTAACTTTACTGAAGCTAACCTTACTGAAGCTAACTTTACTGAAGCTAACTTTACTGAAGCTAACTTTACTGATGCTAACTTTACTGGAGCTAACTTTACTGAAGCTAACTTAACTGAAGCTAACCTTACTGAAGCTAACTTTACTGAAGCTAACTTTACTGAAGCTAACTTTACTGATGCTAACTTTACTGGAGCTAACTTTACTGAAGCTAACTTACCTGAAGCTAACTTTACTGAAGCTAACTTAACTGAAGCTAATACTGAAGCTAACTTTACTGAAGCTAACTTAACTGAAGCTAACTTTACTGAAGCTAACTTAACTGAAGCTAACTTTACTGAAGCTAACTTTACTGAAGCTAACTTTACTGAAGCTAACCTTACTGAAGCGAACTTTACTGAAGCTAACTTTACTGAAGCTAACTTTACTGAAGCTAACTTTACTGAAGCTAACCTTACTGAAGCGAACTTTACTGAAGCTAACTTTACTGAAGCTAACTTTACTGAAGCTAACTTTACTGAAGCTAACGTCTGTCAGTTTTTATATAGTCTTACGTTATAATCGTAACGTTACGCCGTCATGCCTGAGTGTTTTGTACCAGACTGCACACACACGAGCAGCGGATCTCGCTCATTGTTTCGCTTCCCGGGAGATGTAGTTCATTGAGCGATTTTCACATAAAACTAAATGTTACTCTTCTGTTTTATGACAAACTGCGACTTTCTTGACTTTCAGAATTATCTTTTAAATTGACAAACATCATATGTGTAATTCAGGGCACAGTTCAGACGGAATAAAAAGATAAGTTGTCTCTCGCCATTGACTACCATACATGTTTTTTCCGAAATAAGGTCCCATGAGCCGGAAGCGGAGGGGAGGGGCTTAGACTCTGTATAATTATGTTCCCAAAACGACTTATAAAGGTACAACTTTTTAGGTTTGGATGTGAAAGGTCCATATTTGTAATTTTTTTTTTTTTTTTTTTTTTTTTTTTTTTTTTTTTCAGTTGAGCTCCAACTAGAATAACTTAAAATCTGTACAATCTAAGTACTATACGGATATACTAATACCTTTTAGGGGTTAATACGGTTCCTTTTGGAAAGATACCACCCCAGTGACAGTGCTTTTCCGTGTGTGAACTTTCTTCCTCAGTGTTTTTGTCTTGTTTTCCAGTGCAAAAATCTAAACATTCTTAAATCAAGATACATTGACTTGAGAAGCAAAATTAAGATATTAAGCCTAAACAAATCTGTACCACTTTACAATAAGGTTCATTAGCTAACATTAGTTAATGTATTATCTAACATGAACTAACAAGTAGGGGTGTAACGATACCCTCATGTCACGATTCGATACATATCACGATACTGAACTCACGATACGATATTATTGCGATACTCCAAGACATATGATAAAAGGTTAACAAAAAATGTTCTGTTGATTAAAATGCTAAATTTTATATTACATTGTGGGTTTAAATGAATAGGCTTGGACTTGGTGCTTGTAATCCAAGGACAATGGTGACACCAGAATAAAAATATTCATGATTCTGAAGCTGAAAATACAGATTTTTTTTAGATGAATGTGCTTGCACTCTTTCACTGACTAGATATATTTAAAATAATGTCGGCCACTTTTTACTGGTAACATCAGACATTTGGCATTATCAGGACCCACAAATATTCCCCCAGTGCATTATTATACATTATAATCAACATTATATATAGTCGTTTAATGTAGTACTTACACTAAAACTCTGAAAACTTGAATTTTTTCTCACACAGTAATTTTTATTTTGCGGGGACTATCCACGATACATATTGTCACTATCCACAATACGTATTTTTGCATTTTTGTATTGCGATATATTGTGGCACGATATATTGTTACACCCCTACTAACAAGCAATACATGTGTGACAGTATTTATCAATCTTTATTAATGTTAGTTAATAAAAATCCAGCTGTTCATTGTTTGTTCATGTTAGTTCACAGTGCATGAATGTTAACAAATACAACCTTTGATTTTAATAACATATTAGTAAATGTTGAAATTCATATTAACTAAGATTAATAAACGCTGTAGATATTGTTCATTCTTAGTTCATGCTAACTAAGGTAACTAATGAAACTAAGTGTTACCAAAAAAATCTAAAATAAGTGACAAAAAATCTGCCAATGTGAGAAAAATAGTCCTCTTTTCCCTTTAAATTAAGTTTATTTTTCTTACCTCATTTGGAGATATATTTTCTTGTTTTAAGCATAAACTCTCTTAATTTTAATACTTTTTTCAGAAAACAAGACTTCATATCTTCAGTCATTTTGTGTCTCAAGTTAAGTATGGTAAATGTATCTTGATAATCTGACTTCATACATCCACTAAAAATCACCTAAGATTAAAAGTCATCAAGCAAAATGTATGAAGTAAAGGGAATGTTTGACAGTGTGTTGTTGAGACCTGACAGATGTGACACTGATTTGGGTCTGTCAACACAACCTCAACAGGTGAACTTAACTAAGCTAAAGTACCATTCATTTTTCATTTCCCCAACCTCGTCTATTTTAATATTTTACATTTCCCCTGTGACATGCATGCGATATGAGTGCCATTTTTGATCTGCAGTCATCCATAATTTTTCCACATGGGATAAAAGCCTGAGAGGGAAGGGTCGTATATTCTATAGGGAGAGAATATAACACGAGTCGTGCTGATCAAGCCGTCATGTCTGTGACTTTCACACAAGGCCGTTTCCTCTTTTTATCATGCATTGGGAAGTTGTGTGCGTGCATTTTTGTCATTCATGGCAACGCAGGTGTGTTCTCCACTTTATTCCAGGTGCATGAGAAATAATATTCAAACTTTAAAGAAATTCCTTCATATTAAATCTTTATGGGCCATTCTTTGTGATTTAAAACTGAAACTTATTGAAAAAGTGCTATTATGTTCGGCTACTCTGCCATTCTTGAAGAAAATGGTAATATTGGTAAAGTTCGATATTGGGGATTTTTAAATTAGGGACACTTTTGACAACTTTGAATCTTGCAAAATTAAACTTTTATCTTATATTCATGAATAAGTGGCCTTGATCACATGGAAATTAGTATAAAGTGACAATGTGGATTTTTTTTATGTGTCACTTATAAAAATAAGAAGATAAGCCTGGCATTTTCTAACAATAACAAGTTAGCTAGCATGCAGTCACTTTAGTTAAAAAAAAAATAGTTCAGAATTGTACAATAGTACAGAATTGCCGTTTTCTGTTACTGAATTTCAAATATTTTTTTTACAAAATTTCAAACAAAAGCAATTGTTCTCCAAAATGCTTGATGTGATGACAACAGTATTAGAGATACATTGAAGTTTAGGAAAAGCGCAAAGTGAATATATATATATATATATATATATATATATATATATTCACTTTATATATATATACATAAAATAATTTCATACAGCTTATATGTGCAGTCATTTGTAGCCAGCTGGGTGACGCCCTCCAAAGACATGTCAGCAATAATTGACAGGCAGAGGTGCTTTCTGATTGGCTAAAAAAAATCAATGGCCACTCCCCGACTTTTTTGTTTGTTTGTTTACAGAGTCTAGAGATGTCACATAGAAAGAGGTCATTTCCGCAATACCTATTTCAATGATATCAGTCATTTATTAGAGACATTTATTTGTGCTCTTCCAATAAGGAAAAAAAACACAGATTTGGCACTAAGTGTAAATACTAGCTAGTTTGATGCTATTTATACTTATAAATAGTGGCAGATACTATTTGAACCTCAGTGTTGTTGTTGTACATTAAACAGCATGTAATAATAACAGTGTGTAAATGATTATTACCTTATTGGGACAATAAAGCCCTCCCTACACCCTTAACCCTAAACACTTTATTATTAAACACACATTAGACACTTTATTTATACTATTTTCTACATTTTTATTGAAAATAAATGCCTTTCTGATCTGATGTGTGATGGGAAAAGTGATCGGAGTGAGTTCGGCAAAAGGCGGATTCGAACTCGGGTCGATTTGCGTCAAAATTGTTTGCTACACACCTTTCCCCTACACTATTGACAATCCAGCGTCTTCTGTTATTTTGTCTGGCCCAACCAGACGTCAGTGGGCGGAGTTAGTGTAAATAGCCTCTGCCAATGAGGCGTCT